TATTATTCTCTTTACAAAAATATCAAAAATAAATACGATTATTAAAAAAATTAATAGTTTACAAAATATTTAATATTTTATTATGTTAATATGAATAAGAATAAAGTACAATGTGAACTGTATATTAATGTTTTGATAGCTCTATCTTAATACTTTTATACGCAGAATAATTAGAGGAATCATATTATGTAAAAAAAAAAACCATTTAATTCCATATTAATAAGTGGAGGTGACTTTCATATCTGTTTGACGTCTCCACCTAAAAGAAAAATAAAAGATAAATTAAAATTGAACACCCTGTATAAAGCAGACGATACATGACTTATATTACTTTTTCAGGTACATGAGTTTCTTTCCAGCATCAAAAAATGAGAGTTCTCGATATCTCTTTGAAAAGTCTGCCACTTATTTTGACGGAGAATTAGTACCGCGAAGAGCCCATGCACTTTTACCAAGAGCTAAGCTAATCACCATATTGCTCTCTCCAGCTAGACGTGCTTATTCTTGGTACCAGCATACCAGAGTACACGGAGATCCGGTAGCGAACAATTACTCCTTCCATGCGGTCATCACAGCGAGTGATTCTGCTCCGAAACCCCTACGGGATCTTAGAAATAGGTATATAATTGAACATGAACAATTACGTAAGACGTATTCACTTAATAATATATGAATAGGCATTATTTGTAACAGTAATCGGTTAAAAGTTAATGATCGCTAAAATAATGAATGCTAAAAAACTTTTATATCTTCCTATAATTTTATATAGGGTGTCTCATTTTAATGTCCCATCCCAAATAACTTTTTTATTTTTGATCTTAGAAAAAAATGTTTCAGACAAAAGTTGTATGGTTTTGAGGGGAATATAAGATGGTGTCATTAGTTTGACCTTGAATAGTTGCTTGAATGTCACGTGAAGATTACCTTAAATTTCTTAAATGGAACCTCCTTTTATTGCACATTCTTGTAGATCATCTCGAGACCTTTCTAAAACACTATAATTAAGTACCTTTTCGTTAAATATTTGTTAAGTTATATGGCAAGATCGGGACATAATCCAATCAATCAAAACAAGATAAAGGCACGATCCGACCGGTTTCCGTTTAAGAAATTGAAGATAATCTTCAGGTGACCTTCAAGCAACTATTCAAGGTGAAACTAATGACACCATCTTATGTCCCCCTCAAAGCCATACAACTTTTGTGTGAAATATTTTTTCTAAGATCAAAAATAAAAAAGTTATTTGGGTGGGACATTAAAATGGGACACTCTGTATATGGTTTAATTAACATAACATGCCATGTATTTTAATTATCATAAGTTTCAATATTGCATTCAATTACAGGTGTTTAAATCCTGGAAAGTACGCCCAACATTTAGAGAGATGGCTATCTTTCTATTTACCGCAACAATTACACATTATCGATGGCGAACAATTACGACAAAATCCTGTGGAAACGCTGCATGAATTGCAACGATTTCTAAAAATAACGCCCGCCTTCAATTATTCCTCACATTTGAGGTATGATCCGAAAAAGGGTTTCTTCTGTCAAGTAACTAATGAAGATCGCACTAAATGTCTTGGTAAAAGTAAAGGTCGCCAGTACCCACCGATGGAAGACAGATCGTACAAATTACTACAGGTAAAGTTCTTGTAGTAAATTGTCTTTTTCGGCATATACAATCGTATCGAGTTGCAAATGTGCTGTCTCTTTTGCAGAGATATTATTTGTCCCACAACACGGCTCTAGTGAAATTATTAAAGCGGCTTGGGTCCAGAACGATTCCGCAATGGCTGAAGGAGGACCTTACCGATACTGTGATGACCTAGCAAACGCCAATCACATGAAACTTTAATGTTTCCCGGCTACTCGCTTCCGCTGTCAGCGAGATACATCGCTTGCTAATGGAAGACTTGTAAAATAATTGTACATTCAAAACTCCACTGGATTTCACATCTTTAAAGGGAGGACCATGCTGGCCTATCTCAGTGGACTGGCCTAATGTAATTGAAGACCCTACAAAAGCTAGTCATAATAAGCGATTTTACGAAGTCCCAGTTGTAATTGTCGATCACTGTTAAGCTAATAATATTAGTTTTACTATTATTATCCTCTTTATTTTATTATTATTATATTAATTATTAATGTATTACTATTATCATTATCATCGTTACCGCGTCGTAGAAATCAAGGATATTAATCACTCACTAGTGCCATTGTCCAACAATAATTAGGCACCTTTCTATTTCCCCATGCATAAGTTGAGCAAAAAGTCAATCAATACATGTGAATTGAAAATTATGTAAAAAAAGATATATCTTTATAAAAAATATGACAGACCTGTTTTTATAAATTTTATGACGTAAGAAAAGATTTCGTATATATCAAAAAAGATGTCCATGACACTTGCTAGTAGAAATTTATAAAATATCTAATGCTGAGCATAAATGAATTTTTGCTATCAACACGATACGCGTGTTGTAACGAATGATATTGAAGAGTATCTTTTCAGAAAAATGCAATATTTTAAAAAGTTAAAGTTCACTTTTCTTAATATCAGACTGTCCAAATCATATTGTTTTGAGAAATGTATATTCTTCATGTGTAAGGATCATCGATGAATTGTACTGTCAGATTTTTTAGCCAAACAGTTCATCGACCGTTCTTCTTGCACTAATCATCGGATCGTCCATGCGAGCGTGAGATTTCGGGAGTTTGAGAGCTTTTCTCTTGAGCCCACCACTTTCGGAGATACAGTGTATATTAATTCTCGTTACATATTTAAGATCGATGACGATGACAAGAAATCTATGTATATTTTGACAATACTATTCTTGGTATCCACGGTGGAAAGGCCAACAAAAGATGTGTGATCGCGTCCGTTTGTACATTGATGTAACGCATTATTTTGATGTTAATATAGGTGTATTGTACAGAAAAAAATAGAGTGAAAACTCGAAACCGACAATTCAGGTATATCCAAGATGAGTTTGAAAGTTCGCCAATCTCAGATGCGTTGACGAACATACATCCATTTGCAATAATTAACACTATCAAAGAGTTGAAACTCGTGCGTTATTTATTAGATCAATAAATGATTATTTGGCGCACTATGCAAATTACCCGCTGAAAAGTTGTATGAAATTCTGCATGTATGAAAACATTTGTCACGATTATTAGGAATTGCGTATAGTGATACATCGTGGATTTGATCATTGTTGTAAAAAGTAGAAATAGAATCTTATTTTTCAGCGGGTAAGTCCAAATAATTACACAGTGATTTTTTGAAATTGTTTTTTAGCATACTTTTCAAATTTAATATATACAGAATCTTTATTGTGTAACTACTTGTTTGAAAATGATATATTTTAGTATCATACAGTATTCATTTTACTTTAAAAGAATATACATCGAATTGACCTAAGAAGATTTTGTTGATCAAGAGAGCAATGGGATCTGATTATTGTATACGTATATTTTTTTATATTTATTTGTCACTTATACGTATATATAATATCATCTCCAATAATGTGAACTACATGTACAAATATTTTTAATAATACTGATTGTATCTGTGACCATATCTAATTGTACATTGTAATGAATTCATGAGATTTTAAGAATCTCATGGCAGATATCTGCATATAATATCTGCTTGCCGCACTTTTTCTACAGAAAAGTGTATGAATATCGTATATATGGCCCGTTAGGAAAAAGTCCAAAACGAGCAATATAAGATCAGGAGAGAATTTTTTTTATTTGTAATTTCATCACTATATTAATTGTCTCGCATTGTGAATGTTTCTGATGCCATTACATTGAATGTTACATATGAAACAATATTATATTTAGACAGAACCTTTTGTTATGTTTGTACGACTTGTTTTCATTTTTATACTGCCGTTAAAACTATGCCATTGTAACGTTTAAAAAATCATGTACAAAGTTTATTATTAGTCTTGTAATAGTAGTTACTAATGATAATGGTAATATCAACTGATCTGTTTCGTCGAATTGTGCCATTTTACCAATGTTGTATATATGATTATTATTATAATGTACCAATCGGGTTTTTAGAGTCAATATCCTTAATTTTGTTCAGTATGGCGGTAGCAACAAATGTCCGGATTGCTACTACCTGACAATAACCTGATGGCAGACAGAGATAAGTAATAAATCCCGTGGAATTATCAGAATATGATTATCATCGCATACGTAAACAGAATTAGCATTAATATTACCTCATCACTAATCTTCATCTCTATTTATTTTTATGTTTTTATATGATATCTTTCTATAATTATATCTTTTCCACAAAATTTTAAAAACTATAAATTTAAAAAAAAATTTATTAAAATAAAAAGCAATACAATTACATGCATTATCAACGTCTGAGTGTTTTATGAAAGAAAAATTATTTTTTCGTCTCATTTTGTACATATTAGTTATTGTCATCAGTGGTAGCGTACTCTCTGTTAATTGCTACAAAATTTCGAGTGCATTTATTTGCGTGTAAACGCACAGAAATGGCGAGCACTTTGTAAATATTCTGTTCCAATATAGACTGCCCAGGAAAAGAAAATGCCATTGTTGTGCGAATAAACGAAATTGCGCGTAGAGGATGTGTGTACGACACTTCAATTATTTAACTTATGACTATTCTAATGTAAAATATTGTAATAATTGTACGAATAGTCTGTAAGTTCTAATAAAAGAAGCACCAAAAATCCTACATTGGATTGTTTTGTAAATGACAACATATTGAAGTGATACTATGCAATATATAATACATTTTTTCTAGTACACATATTTTGAATTATATCTTTCTTAATTTTAATTTCACACGTTTTATTTACAATTTTTTTTATACGATTCACTTATATAATTCTCTTTGTTCTTTTCAGGTACACTTTTGTTACTTATTTTACATGCATCAACATCTTAGAACTGAAACAATTTTAGAATGGTTATATTAAAATAATTTAGAACGATATGTGGTAATGATAAGCTTTTTCCTCTTCAAAATTATGTAATATCTTTAATTGTTCCAGTTCCAAGAAATTGATGTAGCTTCTTTGGTAACTTCGCTGTTTCGATATATCAATATCTTTTGCGCGCTTGAATCGAATCTCTTGTTAGAGTTACTTATAATACATTTGCGCTGTAAGTCAATGAGTCGTTGTTTATTACAATATCTTTTATGGATTCATTCAAGTTTGGCGTCTTTGCAAAAATAGTGTCATCATCGCATGAATCGCTGGATGAAGAATCCAAGCGATTTGGTCCCAACACAACTTTCAAATCTTCTTTGACAAATTCATTATGTAAATTCGTAAATTTTATGGTTCTTCGAAGCTGATAATTCGATTCGTTCAAGTCCCTTCGATCTCCAGACACGTTAAAATATTCCGAGATTGGATTTTGGTCCCCAGCATTACAATCGTCTATACTGAGTCGAACGTTATTTTTCTCGATTTCAAATTCTTTCAAAATCTCTTCATCTATTTCTTCTATAGGATCTAAAGTACACTTTATCTCCTTTCCAAGAAATCTTTTCCCTCCAATGACTGAAAGATCCTTGTTAATCGATTCACCAGTACCACCTCCATTTTCTATTAACGTCGGAGTACTCCCAGATAAAGTATGCACTTGTCTCATTTTTTTTACTCTTGCACCTAAATATAACAAATAAATATATTATTGCTATTACCGAGAAGATTAAAAATGATTTATTCTTTACATATTTTAAGCTGGTAATATCTTATAATAGTTATAAACTCTACTTTTTTAATTATAACTATTTAATTATATATATTTTTGTTTACCAATTATTGGGATAGTTAACGAAAAGTTATTGAGAAATATAGTAATCGAATAAAATGCGGAAATATTATATATAAAAATATTTTTAAGCAATAAATTGATGCTGAATTAGGATAGCGAAGAAAAATATAAGTATTTTGGATTTCATAAATTTTACCGACCCGGCATTGGAATTTTTGTAACGTCATCTTCAATTTTGACGTTCACGTTCTGTCGATTCGCAATAATCGTAACGGTAGGCCTTCCTTCTTCAAGCTTTATCTCTTCTTGATACTTCGAAAATCTGAAATCAATGCTCGGATGATGTCCCATGCTGGAAGTTGAGTCCAAATAAACGCAATCACTATTAGGAGAGAATAGTCTTTGCAGAAACGGAGTTCTCTTGCCCCATGTATGATTCAAACATTCCGATCTATTACGGAGTATTCCGTAGTACTCCAGCATACCGAAGATCAGCAGCATTGCTGTGCCAACTAGGACCAGCAATGCAGCCAAGGAGATTAATTGCCAGGAGAAATTCAATAATATCGTCACGGTATCCTCGTCTTTACGCATCGCACAAAAGGGAGCAAGGATACTCCCAAGGATCCCGCAAATGAGATGTACGGCTACGACGTTGCAATAATCCTCCAGGGTGCTGTGAAAGATCCACGTAGAGACGAGATGAAACATGATGCCTCCCAGGAAGCCCAACACGATAACTATTTGTGGCGAATAATCGCTTGGTGCAGCCGACACCATTACCACGCCGGCGATCGTTCCCTGAATGCATCTCTTTAACGTCCAATGATCGTAGGGATCACGGTTGAAGACGAAGCGTATAACCACGATTACGAATGTGCACGAGGACGCGGCCAGGAAATTGTTGACGTATGCGAGCGATGAGTCCCGTGCGAACATTCGATACTTGCCGTGCTCATGCGAGCTCGTGCACAAGTCCTGCAAATGTACGCAACGTTGTACACTAGCAGTTCGCGATTCTTTTTTTGAACGAAAAAAGAATGGTTTTATAGTATATTTACAAATTTAGCTACGTATAGATGTCAAAATAATTTTGTTGGATCATCGAAATAATTGTGTCAAACGCTCAAGCTGGTTACTAGAATGTCAAAACTTTTGCATTACTCATCATGCTTGAACGTTCTACATAATTATTTTGATGGCCAACAATTAAACTATTCTGTAACTCTTAACGACTGTAACTTAGCGTTATAGTGTTGCGCAACTTTTTTACTATACACAAAACTTGCACAATGGCATTGCTACAGTTACAATCGTTAAGAGTTACGAGAGAATAAATCCTTAAATCAATAATTTCTATTTTTCTTTCTCAAATTAAATAAAGTTGATTTATTTAATTTTATTGTCTTTAAACGAGAATAACAATATAAAGTTAAAGAGTGACTCCAAAAACACACATTTTTAGCTTATATATTTTTGTAGTATTTACGGCAGATAAGAAATATATTTAGGAGACCTTTTTTATGCAAAATTTTAAGCAACTTTTATCCTAAACATTTTTTTCGTATCTGCATTCGTTTTTAAGAAATTCAGCAAAAATTTCTTTAGGGGTAGTTTTACCCCTTTAAAAAATTAAACAGTAGAGCGGTGGACGGATTAGAAAACCATTCTGACTAATTCTAGTCAAAGTTTTATTATTATTAAGGAAGTATTAACTTTTTTTGTGTCTATGCTTGAACAATATTGAATCATATAGCATCGTTTGGCATACAGTTTGATTCGAAATTCGATGGTCACAAAATGAGCTTTTTGGAATCATATATTCTTACATTTAAAATAAATCTTTACTCAATGCATAATGCTGGCGCCATAGTATTTGGCACGAAACTGATATTCATAATCGTTTTGTTTTAGATTTAAGAATTTTCCGTTTGAGTAAATAAAATATTTCTTTTAACAATAAATATCGTTCCTATATCGATTCTATTTTATGATACATCGAAGAATAATACCATTTAACCTAAAAATTTCTTTTCTATGGATGCGATTTGAAAAAAATTTTACCAGAGAAACTTAAATTTTTTTCCGCCGAACTTGACAACCATAATTTTATATTATACCAAAAACTAAGTATTTCTTATTCTATATATTAATTCTATTAATTTGGTTCATGTCCAGCAAAATATTTACTTGAAGCCCAGCGAAGATCAACAGTAATCCCCCGAAAGCGTTCCGAGCAGAGTTGGGATTCGCGTTATTCAAGTATTCGTTCCCTCTGAACATAATTCTTTTGTCAAGAACGATGCATCCGATCAGGCCTGAGAGTCCTCCGACAATATGGATTACTGCTGTACCAGCTCGGTCCTTGAAGACCACCGTCTTTCCACCTAATTCGTTCTCTGCCATCCATCCCATCCATGCCCAGCGGATGAGCAACGGTTGAATCAGGCCTGACAAGAGGACGCTCACCAACAGGCATCCTGCTATGTGCATCCGGCCTGCGACGGCGGTGGTGCAAATCGCCGATGCGATCGCCACTGCCTGCCACCCCACGATCGCCTCGTTCTTGTCAATCGTCGGATCACCGATCCAATAACCCGCGCCGATCAAACCGGCGCTGTTGTAAGCAACGAGGAAGCCCATCAGGAAGTATATAACGGTAATGCAACACAGATCGATCGCATTTTGAAGAAGTATCAGATTAACGTTGTCGATCGGGACGTTACCGACCTGGACGACAACAAAGCCGATGCGCAGCAGAATCGTCACGACGAGACGAATCAGTGAATTCCAGTGGAGATGTGTGGTAGAGACAACGGTATAATTGCCGAATATCTGAGACTGAACGGCGTGATCGTAATAGTTCCCGGCGTAAAAATAGTCTCTGATAACGGACGACATTCTCTCTTCTCTTGGAGTTGGGTGTCTCTTCTGTACGTTGTCACGTTATCATATCTTTGTTTGTCGTGGTCGAAATATGCTTCAAGATTTGATACATTTTGCGCGCGGAGGTAACGTTTCTGTTGGGATTGGAATAATTGACAGGAGACTGAATGAAAACGAATGAAATAGCGCGTGCGCAGTTGAATTATCTGTTGTTTCATCGAAAATAATGGGTGCGTCCAGATTATCGAGCCGAACATCGAGCCGCGAGCCAAGCCCGTGTCCACATTCAAAGATTTCATGCGATTCTATATTCATGTTTTAATAATGTGGATGTAAGATCTTTGGATCACCCTTAAAGTGATATCACAGTATACATAAGTATATAAGGTGCGTTCGGGAAGACACTAGCTTGTGTCATTCTATTTTCATCGTTTATTACACGTAAAACAAGAGACGGAATCCATAGAGGTTGCTCAAAATTCGAGATGGTCTTAAGCTAGTGCATGAACCAATCAGAGAGCCGTATTAGCTTCTTAAGACGTTGCTTGAGATTAAGACCGGACTATGGCTGGTATTCATAATCGGTTGTTATTTTAAGACCGTCTTAAGTAATGTCTTAAGACGCTAATGCGACTCTCTGATTGGTTCATGATACCTCAAAGCTAAACCTAAGACGGTCTTAAATATAAGATCTAACTATGAATACCAGCCTATGGATTCCGTCCAAGGATGAAATGACACAAATAGCGCTAATAGCGTCTCCCCCCTGATGGAAATAAATCGTTGAAATCGCTGAAATCTCTATCAATTGACCTATTTCAGTATAATTCATAATGAGAAATGAGTTAATTGATGGAGATTTCAGAGATTTTCAGCGATTTCAGCGATTTATTTCCACCAGAGCCCGAACGCATCTATATAATTTTCTATGTTCCAAAATTAACTGCCAATACTGAAAATCTATAGTGCACGTGACGTAAATTGTAGATTTCCAGCTGTGACAGTAAATTTGGAACGCAACCTATATATAGAAATCTGTGGGGGACATCAAAGCTACGTTCGAGAATACACACCGAGTGCCTTCAAGGGTGATCATTCTATGCTTGTTATTAATTCACTGAAGATTAAAAAAAGAATAAACTGATATCTGGAGGCACTCAGGGTGTATTCCCGAAAGTAGTTTAAATTATAGATCATTAAGAAAAGAGTGTAAAATTATTTAATTAAGTTACTTAATTTTAGTATAAACATTAAAACCTCAGTATAAATAGTCATTACATAAAAAAGAGTATTATTATATAAGAATACAAGAATTTATGTGCCATATGATCAAACAAATTGTAGACACTTTAATTTTTGCCATTCATAATCAGTGGAAAACAAAAAAATTCGAAATTTTAAGCTTATTCTACAATGTGTTTTTTGTTTTTTGTTTCTTGCTTTTTGCCATTTTTTTACAACTTGTCTTTTTGCTTCTTATTCGGTTTTTTGTTTTATGTCCCCCGAAATAAAAGTTTACGAACTTCGGAAGAAACAGGAAACGTGTAGCAAGAAATACAATTGTCGATAAAACGGTTGCAAAGGGGGAAAAAGCAAGAGACAGAAAACAAAGAGCACATTGTAGAATAGACTTTACTTGTGCAGAGAAGTCGCGGAGAAACAAACTTCCGTTCACCGACTTAAAACTGTAAAGGACAAGTCAGACTTTCAAGTAAAAATCGCTAAAAATTAGGTAAGAATGCCTCGCGAAAGCAGTAGATCTGTATTCATCGAAGTATCTTAATCCATTAAGGACAGCTGGTCGATTTTTCGATCAAAAAATGGATCAATTTTGGGATGCGAAATTTTTGGCAAGTAGACTCCTTAAGGGCATAGTAACTTGCCATTAAAAGGATTTTAAATTTTGAGAAAAAAATTTGTCTTGGTCCTTAATGAGTTAAGAGAAAAAAGATAAGATAATATCTAAACTAATAAAGTAGAAATTTGTTTCGAAACTAATGTTAGAAGCAGCCTGTAACAATAATTCATTGCATAACATCGTGAGAAATGATCTACTCAAATCGAAGCACAGTGAGGTACTTTTGCATTTTCTAAGCCGAAAGATATCGGATATTGTTTTTGAAAGTTTTTCAATTTATTAAAATAAAAACAGAAAAATATATTTTCCAACCAGACGCTCTTTAGTCGGAAGCTCTTAATATTTTAAGAAAATGAAAAAATTCTCAAAAACAATATCCGATATTTAGAGTTTGGATTAGAAAATGAGAAAAAACCACTGCAATGTTCTGCAATTTACATGGATCATTCTCTACAAGGTGAGAACTCGCGCATATACGATACGCGCGTGACAACGGAGTACGTTGATGCCGAGAATAACGTTTTCTCATGGACGACGTCTTCGCGGTCCGTATCTAGGAACGAATCATCCTAATCGCGATTCCAAATGTGCCGCTAACAGCAGCGTCAATGCCGTTCGACCAATGCGCGTCGAGCACGGCGCGGCGCGCATGTCACGTCGCGTCGTCGGCCGCCGCAAGGTCGGGGTTTCGGGACCCGCGCGCGCGATACCGTCTGCCCACCGCGCCGCGAACGGTAGTGCGGTAGTCGGTCATAGCCGGTTGTCGGTTCGCTCAAACCGCGTGACGCGGGTGGCAGGCGGGTGTTTGTTGTCCCGGTCGACTTGTGCGTGAGAGAAGAGCGAACAGCGAGTGATCCGCGCGTCGGAACGTCGTCGAACGGTGCGCCCGGCTCTTTGACAGCGGCGACGAAATGGCAGCAGTATCGTTTCGGACGGTATTCGTCGTGAGGTGGTGCGAGATGAGCCGCGTGCTGACTACCACGTCTTACCTGGCCACACCGAGGCGGTACCGAAAGGTGAGAAATGCGTTTTGACAACGCAGTTAACGTAAAATGAGCGAACCACACCTGGGCTACGTTCAAATTCTCATTTTTTTTACCTGATTTTTTTATCCAAGTATCATTTTATATCCTTGTGTTCATTGATATGTTAAATAAGGATAAATAATATCTGGGGAGCACTCGGGTGGGAATCTGAACGCACCCCTGCGTGACGCGCGCCCTTTGGCGATTCCGCTCGATGGAAATCTCTTTCCTCCCTGTTTTTCTCGGAGTAGTCGGAGTATTTATTCGGAGCATACGGGGAGCTGTACAAGGGACCGTGTGACAGAGATCGGCGATATAGATTGGTTATCTCGAAGCCGGTGTACATTGGTTTATTTTGAATACATACGCGTGCGGATTAGGTCAAATTAATTGATATTGCGGGGCTCAGATGTCCACTCTTCATGACCCCCATCCTACTCGCAGTCGCAATAGCTGCGATAATGTGTTACATGAGGTCCCCGAGATCCTACTTCTCCCACTCTCATCCGTGTGAAGCGTACCCTGGCTCCAACACGAGTCCCACCTTCGATTCGATTGCGTGTACATATAATAGCGTTAGCGGGTCTTTATCGCACACGCGCCTTCCGAAAGCACGCGATACCTTTGGTACCGCGCCTCTCCATCTCGACACAAGTACAATTGCAGGAAAGCCTATAATGTTAATAAAACCGGTAACGAGAGAGACGAGATACCGGATTTGAACGGAGTTAATCGTTTCTGGTTATTCTTCATCCGTTTTTAATTCTTGGAACTGCAAAAAAGATGAAGAGTTAAAGCAAGATTAAAATTAAACTACATTGATAGAAACGAATATAAGGTGCTCTGTGGGAAAAATCGTATTTTCTTCTATATTTTATTTGTCTTTCTTTCGGAAATTATTTTCTGCTCGCAGATTAAATGAATATCAGATTACATTTGAATAATTAAATGTTGTAAAGTATGATTATAATTCCGATACGCGATATCAAACGTGTGTGTTACTGAACTCCGCTACATTGTGAGAAAAATGTATTGAATTTTAATAAATATTTGTTTGAATAATAGTAGCTGAATATTTACTAAATGTATTTATTTGATACAAGAACTATTAATTCTTAAGAAGATAACTATCATTTTTTTTATTTAGTAGTAAAAATTTCTTTACTGTAAGTAAATGCTAAATTAGCACTATTCAAACAAATATTTATTAAAATTTAGAATATTTTTTTATGTGTTGACTTTATATTATAACGTAATTTGTTGTAGGATGAGAATTGATAATTTCGAGAATAATATAAAAGCGGGAAACACGTTTGTTATTTAATTACTCATTATCGTGAACATACATGATCGCTTTAAATTATTTGATAATTACAAAATGATAACGCTAGCATAAACATACATGTTTCCAGCAGAATTAACGCGAAACATTTGTAATATATGTTATTAGAAAAAAATTGGAAATTATTTCTAATTTTAATGTCATATCTTCTCTTTAAAAGAATTATTATTTAAGAGATTTGCATTGATTCCATTGCATTTGTGCGTATTAATTATAAATGTGGAAATGAAAGTAAACGGATAGTTTATTTTTCCTTATTCGGAAAAATTAGAACACATTAAAAAAACTGCTTCTAGATATTTACATCGATAATATCATAAATATTAAACCGTCAAATTATTTTGTATCATGTATTTGCTTAAAGTTAGTTGGTTATGTGTGTTCTTTGTTTCTACAACAAATGTACGAGTAACTTACGCAAAAAAATTTCATATTAATAAAATGTTATCATTTTCTGATTACTGCACGCAAACGTGCGGTTACGAGATAATAAAAACCAAATCATGCACGCATCCCGATGCGTATGCGTTTATCGCGTGTGCGCTGTGCAGATTATATCTGCAATATGATGGCATTAATTACCATAACGTTTAGTAATTAAAGAAATTATAATTATAACGGGTTATATAATTATAAAATGAAATGAGAGACAAAATATTTCTTCAATTTTTATTTCTCATTATTCTAATCAATATAGAAATATACTTTAATTATTTATATTTTGTTCTTAATACATTAATATTCATGTTTTTACATTTTATTTGTTTATAGGACTTTAAGATACACGTATTTACAAGACGGATATGATAAATTAAAATGACAATAATATATTTATAATTACTTATGAAAATAGAAAATGATTAAGATGAATATGAGAAATAATGAGAGAAGTAGAATAATAATATGAATATTATATTATTATAAATATCGTCAGTGC